CAAGTCCAAATGTTCAGTATTGCCAAATGACCCTTTATCTTTTGGCCCCCGATTACTTTTTTTTTTTAATTGTTGATTTGTGTGAAAGTTTACAGAGCAAATTCATTTTCCATATAGCATTTCATACACGTTATTTCATGACATTGACTGCAAAAAATAAAAATGAGGAACAAATACACAGACTGCATAAACAAACAGGAATAACTGCAAGGAGGAAAAAAAAGGAAGGCAGTTAATCAGAATAACTATTTAAAGAAATACTTTAAAAACAATAGGTATATATGTGGAAAACGAGACCAAAAAAAAAAAAAAAAAACCGCAGTATCTGAGGAGTGGGAGTGGGGGAATAAGAGAAAAGAGCAAGTGTAGAATAATAAATGAAAAATGAGAAAAGTACGAAAAGGAAAACAAGGGATGGGAAGAACCAAAAGAAAGTAAAAGGATGGGAATCAGAAAAAGAGAAGAGAAAAAATAAAAACTAGAACTCGGGAAAGGGGCAAAAAAAGAATAATTTTAAAACAAAACTGGGTGCCATGGCAGAGGGCATTCAGGTTCCATCATGGCACACAGACTGGGATGGAATTTCTTCCTGTCCCGTAGGTGGGTGAAGGTTGGAGGATGGCCTCACCTACGTTCACCAAAAGGGTGATGGACTTAAGAGTAACAAGTGGAATATTGCATCTTTCCAGTCATCAGCCCCCAGTGTGCTAGTCCATGCTTTTCTAGGCAGGCAGAGCCTATTAAATTGACTGCCATCAGATTGTCCCTTGTGAATATTGAGAATGGCTGTGCCCTCAGATTAGACAAAGGAGGAGGAAACACTTCTTTTCAGTCAACACAGATTGAAGTCACTTGGAGCTCACTAAGGAACCAAAGAAGAGAAGCTGAAAGAAACAAAATTCTGTGTACTTCCCCGCCTCAGTAGATGAAGAAAGCTTTCCCCTAAAGCTGGTACCCTGAATTTGGACTCTGGCCTCTTAAACTATGAAAAAAATAAGTTTCTGTTCAATCAAAACCACTATTTGTGGTATGTATTTCTGTTGTAGCGTCACTAGATAACTAAGGCACCAGTGTTCATTGCAGCATTACTTACAGTAGTCAGAATATTGATATAATTCAACTGTCCACTAATAGATGAATGGATAAACAATGTTATATAACCCCTTGCCATCAAGCTGATTCCGACTCATAGTGATGACTACCATTGGGTTTCCAAGGCTGTAAATCTTTATGGAAGTAGATTGCCTCATCTTCCTTCCACAGAACAGCTGGTTTGTTTGAACGCCAACATTCTGGTTAGCAGCCAAATGCCTTACACCCTGTGCCACCAGAGCTCCTTTCAAATAATGTGATACAAACACATGATGGAGTATTATATAGCTACAAAGAACAATGAAGTCCTGATACATGCCACCATATGGATGGACTTTTAAAACTTCATGCAAGTGAAATAAAACAGAAAAATAAAAATACTGTATGATCCGATTTAATATAAAATACCTAAAGCATGTAGATTGAGACAAAAGATTAGTAATTACCAAGTGCTCTGTGTGTGTGTGTGTGTGTAGGGAGGACTTTTGAAAAAAAAAAGAAAGGTAAGGATTGACAAAGAAGAGAGAAAACATACGGTTTTTTGGAATCCCAAGGAAGAAAATAAGTGTCCAGAATTGTATTGGTCTGGAAATCTTGATCATAATTTAATGTGAAAAACCTAGTAAAAGTAAACCAAGAATTACATGTAAGTGCAATACAATTGATACAGTGCCTGGTACAAAGTACTGAAGATGTATTGAATTAAATTCATTCCTTTATCCAGCAAAATAATTTTAAAGTGTCTTTTCAAAAAAAAGGCTAAAAAATATTCCTCTTCTGGTGTCAAAAGTAGAGATTTTGATAAATATTCACTAATAAATGAAAATGTCTAGATTTATATTATTTTATTTGTTAGTCTTCCAACATAAATTTTTTAAAATTAGAATACTTAGAAAGAATGGTATCTATGTCTATATAAATACAAATGTATAGTTTTTGTGTGCCTCTGAATTGATTCCGACTTAGAGCAACTCCCTTGATGACACAGTAGAACTGCTCCATAGGGTTTCCTAGAAACAGATCACCAGGTCTTTTCTCTTATAGAGCTGCTGGGCGGATTCAGACCACTAACCTTTTGGTTAACAACTTATCAACTAACCATTGCACTACCAGGTTATGAGAAAAACTTAAAATACTAATAAAATGAGAATATATAGTTCATTCTTAGATAGGAAGTTCCACCTTTATAAATGCCTATTTTTCCTAATTGTTTACATAAATATATGAAGTTAGTAAATGTATCTTACCTGATTTTTCAAACTGTATTAGCTGATTTTAAAGTTTGCATGTTAAATTTTAATATAGGAAAATTCTGCAGAGCAATAATGTATACAATTAGCCCTGACAGATATTAGAATACTTGTTAGGTATATAATTTGACAGGGGGTCATTAGGTCAGAAAAGAGTCAAGACAGAGTCACAAAAAACAGGACATTAGCAGAACGTTATTGTAATATTTTCACTTAGTCAGGAAATGATCAGTCATTTATGAAATTGATTACCAATATAAAAAAGTAAAGTGCTTCTTTACAGATCGATTATTTAATATAATATATAACTTGATAAATTGAAGAATTTAATTCAGAGTGAGGAAAGACTTTCCCAGTTAGGAAGACATTTGACTACATAAAAAGTATTACTGCCTTAACTTTTATCTGATACAATAACAAAAAGCAGAAACCAAAATAAATAAATGGGACCTCATAAAAATTAAAAACTTTACCAAAGAAGTTACTAAGAGTATCTTTAGAAACCATTATCCAACAAGAATCTAGTTGCCAAAATATATAAATGAAACTTTGATAACATAACAAAAAACAAAACAAATAACCCAGTCATAAAATTGGCATAGGACTTGGCATTTAATCAAAGAGGACATTCTCATGGCCTTGAAACACATGAAATACGTTCAGCGTTCAAAGAGATGTCAATCAAAGCCACAATGACATACCATTTTACTCCCACTAATACTGGAGGGGGAGCTCTGGTAGCATAGTGGCTAAGACACTTGCCTGCTAACCAGACGGCTGGCGGTTCAAACCCACCAGCCACTCCTCGGAAGGAAGGTTGGGCAGTCCTACTTCTGTAGTGATACTGCCTCGGAAACCCAAGGAGGGGTCGCTGTGAGTCAGGTTTGACTCGAGGGCACATAACAACAACAACAATACTGGAGGAGGGGAGCTCTGGTAGCGTAGTGCCTAAGGCACTTGACTGCTAGCCAGAAGGCTGGTGGTTCAAACCCATCAGCCACTCCACTCCTCAGAAGGAAGATAGGGCAATCTACTTCCATAGTGATACTGTCTTGGAAACCCAAGGAGGGGTTGCTATGAGTCGGGTCCGACTCTACAGCACATAAAAACAACAACAATACTGGGGGAAGGGGGAGTTAATAACAAATATTGGTGAAGGTGTAGGGAAATTGGAACCCATAACCCATTGCTCAGTGGGAATTCAAAATGGTACAGTCATTTTGGAAAATAGTGTGGTTATTCCTCAAAAACATTGAAAATAGAACTACCATATGACCCCGCATCTCTACCTCTAGATATATCTGTATTTGTGTATAGATATATATATGCACACACACCTATATATATACCCAAAAGACTTGAAAGCAGAAGTTTAAAAAGAGACTTGTACACCAGTATTCCTTGCAGCACTGTTCACAATAGCCAAAACTGGAATCATCATAAATGCCTATCAGCAAATGAGTGGATAAACAAAATATTATTTAAAAAAAAATAGTTCTTATCTAGTAAGAGAAAGGAAGTCTTGATATAGTATAGATGGAGCTTGTAGATAATTAGCTAAGTGAAATAATCACAGTAGGACAGTATTGTAAGATGTCACTTACATAAAAAGACAAGAAAAGGCAAATGTATAGAGACCAAAGTTACCAGGTGCATGAGGCAGGGGAAGAAGGGTCATTGATGGCAATGGAAAAATCACATTGATTAAGTGTAAAGTTGCATAGCTGATTATTGGAATTGCTGTCAGTAAGTTGTATAACTGTAAAATGTTGATTTGGCAAAAGTTGTGTGATAGATATATTTACAACAGGAACAGCAAAAGAATAGCTGCTCATCCTGTGTGTATACGAATGGGATTTGGTTCCTTTGTTTGGAGGTTTAGGATCATGGTTTCATGGAACATCCCAATCCCTGTTAATTGGCCTATTAACATGTTTAGTACTTCTATTCTACTCCTATTTTTTCGGGTAGTCACTAAATTGTGTATGTAGAAACTGTTGGATTGGTGTAAGTTTTGCTGTGCATATTCTCAACAGCGTCAACAACAAAATAAAATTTAGAGGAAAAATACTTTTGCATAACTTCTTTTTAAAAATTACCTATAGTGCCATACGCTAAGTTACTTAACATACTAGTAGCTCTAATAAAGCAATAAAAATCCCAATAACTCAAAAGGTAAATTGACAGATAGGAATGGGCAGATCAAAATAAATACTGTTGACTCTTAAATATAGGAAAATTCATACAACTTTATTCTTAAGGAAACAAAAATGAAATTATACTGATTTCCATCTGAGATTTCAGAGATTAATAACTTTAGTTATACTTTGTGTCAAAATGAGGAAACCACCTTCTCATATACTATTGGTGGGCATATTAACTGGCACAGCCTTTCTGGGGGACAGTATGATATTAATTGTTATAAACTAAATGCCCTGTCTTTTGACTCGTCAAATCCATGTATAAGATGTATCTTGTATTGTATGATCATAAAAATATGTGTATAGAGATGTTTTTTACAGTATTCTTTGTAAGAGCAAATGGTCATGAACTCCTGAATGATGGCTTTCAAAATCATTGCTGGATTACTTCTGTTTTAAAGGTAAATGATAATTTTTATAATGTACATTGATTTTTCTTTTCCCCCTATTATTTTAGCCAAAAGTGGACCAGCCAAGACATCAACCAAGATGAATAAATCTTCAGGTATGTTTTTTTAATTAGAATTCTAGACACATTAGTTAATTATTATTTAAGAAATACATAATAATATTAGATTTCATGTGACATAATGGATTTAGTAGCTAATACTCTTGGTAGTAATTATCAAAATAAGATCATTTAACTTGCTGGATTTAACTGGAGAATCGATTTCTTAGTAGGAAGGAATATCAGGTATTTCACACCTTATCTTTTATCAAAGTCACTGTCTGTCTACTTTCTTTTACGTCATAGTCCAGATAACAAACATGCTGCAAAAATGTATGGTCTTTTGTAGTTTTTAGGTCACAGTGGATTTAAAAAAAAAAAAAAAACTACATTTGTCCTATTTTCCCTTACCATTATCTGTCCTTTCCAACTTCTCTTTCATTTCTGCTAAATGCTGGTTAATTAAGAATCATCTCTTTAAGTGAATTGAAATCAGTGGGTTAAATTTTCTGTTCTATAATATTAGATACGATACTGCCTTGAACTCGAAAATACCATTATTGTTAGTGATAGCTCTAAAATTTTTGTGTAGTAGTGTCTTAGAAGCAGTAATCAGAGGGTGTAAGGGATGGGTAAGAAACTTGTCTTAAAATGTTATATACTTAGGAAACACATTGATACCACTTTCATAGAAAATTCATGGGAGTCCCACATGGATATTAGGGGGAGTGAGTCCTATACCTCTTAACTGTTGGAAGTTAATTCTTGCCATTTTTTCCTTAAACTCTGATACCCAAGCAGAAGTAGTAAAGTGAATTGACTTGTGTTAATAACATAGGGATAGTGAAAGAAATACCTTAAAGGATCACTAAGGAACTCTGGTGATGTAGTAGTTACCGCATTTGGCTGCTTACCAAAAGTTAGGTAGTTTGAACACACCCCACCCCCACCTCCACCCCCACCTTCCCTGCCAATCTGCAGGAAAAAGTCAAGGCAGTCTATTTCCATAAAGATTTTCATAGCCTCAGAAATCCAGTGGGAGTCTCTTTGAGTCACAATCTTTTCGATGACAGTGAATTTTTTGGTTTGGAAAGTTCAGCTTACTGCAATGTGGTAAAACTTCAGAATGACTTTTTAAAAAAGAGAAAAACCAAGTTGTGAATGATTAAGCTATGTGGCAATCTGTAAGGATTGGTATTATTACTTTTTTTGATCTTTGAATCTATGGAGTGGATTTTTAAAGCATTTGATTGATTTTTTTATGAATGTCAGTAATTCTTTTTATTTGTACGATATTTTAACTTTTCAGAAGCATTATTATATTTTCACAGAGTTCCTATTAAATAATTATGGCAGTTGCTACCCATTTTTATAAATGGACAAATCAATATAGAAATCAGTTAATATGCTGCCAAAGGTTTTGTAATAAAGTTAGAATTCACCTGAGGTCTGCTGACTTCTGATCTTGAGCTTTTTCCTTGTTGTTGTTATATGCCATCAAGTCGGACCCGACTTACAGCGCCCCCACCTTGGGTTTCTGAGGCAGTATCAGTAAGGAAGTAGATTGCTCAACCTTCCTTCCAAGGAGTGGCTGGTGGGTTTTAACTGCCAGCCTTCTGGTTAGCCCTAGGCATTATGCTACCAGAGCTCCTTTTTTCTAGGAATCTTAATTTTCAAAGCTATGTGTCTGCTGTTGGGGTCTGTGGAAAGGATTTTTGACTCCCTATATAATCTTTTCAGCTACATTTTGATGATCATAGTCTTTATAAATAGCATCATCTTAGAAAGTGATTAACAATAATAGATGCTTGTGTATAAATTAGAGTCAGAACATTTTATAAATAGTCTCGTACAGATAAGACCCACTAGGAATGAGTCAAAGCAATCTCTTTGTGTTCTGACCATGATGTAGGTGTTCCTGAATGCTTTGCAGTCAGCTGGAAACTATGGAAGTCTATGCTTCTAGAAACATTAAAAGAGTATGGGATTGTTTTTATGTCCTTGGAGTTTGTAATTTTGCTTCTAGTTGATCGACATTCAGAGATGTATTTAACTTGCCTGATTATTATTTTTAAGAACCCCATTGAGGAGGTGAATTTTTATTTGTTGATAATTTTATTCAAAAGAAATTATAATCTCTAGATTTAGGAAATGGCCTATATTCTCAAGGATGTTAGCATTTTATGTTTTTAAATAAGATACAGTCTTGAAGCTTTCGTATTCCTTCTCTATGAGATTCTTTGGGGATTGTTGATACTAGTTAAATAAACCAGTCTTGACTACAGTTTTTGTGATTTAGGAAAATCTGCAGGTTCTGTAAAATCTGTGATAACAGTAGCTGCTAAAGGTAGTAAAGCTTCAATCAAAACAGGTAAGATTCTTGGGTAGGAGAGATTTTTATTAATTTTATTCTTAATTCTGCCTTAAAGACTATAATAACAAAAGTCAGTTTTAAATTCAGATAATTTATACATCTATAAAATTTGAAAAAATTAAGTTAGATACTTTGATATTTAAAATTTGACATGTATGAGACTTTGAGCCAATGGTACCCTGGTCTTGAACAATATTGCCATTGCAGGTACAGTTTTATGCTTATCATTGGCAGAAAACATTTTGATAGCTATATAATCTTAGGCCACTTGACCATTTTGCTCCTGAAAATTTGTTTTTCTTGTCTTTTTAAGGAGGTGTTAATTCATGTTCTCATCTTCAGCTTGTACAATTCCTGATGGTTGTGAATTTTTAAAAAAATAATTTTTCCATGTTACGAGAATATATTTTTTCCATAAAAAAATGGAAAACACTATTTAAAAAAATGTAGTATGTTGAAACCACCTTGATTTTTTTTCATTAACGATATCTTTTTCCAACCAACTATAATTTAAAGACCTTTTTCAGAAATTACATAATGTGATTTTTTTACATGTGTGATTGTGATATATTTCTGCCACATGAAATTTAAACTTGTGAGTCATTTATGGCCATCTATAAAAATTGTGTCAATTTAAATTTGCTTTTAATCTTTTTGGTAAATGGGTACTGTTTTGATAAATAGAAACAGTGAATATATGGAAAATAACTATTTTTGCAATAAAGTTCAACTATTTATTTACTAATACACTAGAAAGAAACATAATAAATGATTGAAGAGATCCTTAGGTAATGGTACAATTCTACTTTTTAAAGCAAAATCTAGTGGAAAGAAGTCTCTAGAAGTCAAAAAGGTTGGCAGTGTCAAAAACAAAGACTCCAGTAAACCTGTGACTCTACCAGGTAAGCGTGAAATGCTGTCAATAACTGGTTTTTTTTTCCTTTAGATCCATTTGTTATGTATTGGAGGGTACATTTTTAAATTACTGCTTGGAAATCTCCAAAAGGATTGTTTTTTTTGCTGTAAGAGAAACTTACATTGGCATTGGTTTAAGTCAGGTCAGCCAAAGGAGACATGAAGTGACAAAATAAACTTAGGTTCCTGTTCAGATTCGTTAGTTTAATGATATTAGTGTGCTTTTCTAGACTACTAAATCAGACAATTTCATGCAGAAAATTCTGAAATAAAGCCCAGTGTGGAAGCCAAAGGCACTGAAAACAATGTTAAAGAAACTGTTTCAGGTAGGTCAATAGAAATTTTATTTTGTCCTTACATATTTATGAGTAGAAAGAAAATTAAAATTTCAAGAAAATACTTGTATATTACTCATGTATACAGACATGCTATGTATACATATGTATATTGCATTACTAGCATCATACCTAAGTGAAATACATATGCATGAAATGTTATCTTGTTTTGTGTCTTAAGAAGGTGCTTTGGAGGCCACAGAAAACCAAGAACCAGTTTGCAAGGTCAGTTTTTGTATTTTAATTATTTCTTTAAAGTTTAAGTAATTTTGATATAACATATGATACTTTTGTTAACATAAATCCAGCTACATTTTTATAAAAATAAAGGATTTGGCATGATGAAAAAGTTCAGTAGTTTGTGACTTCATTAATATGGTTTCTGCTCAAAAACTTTGAATGTCAGAGTAAGTCACGAAAATTTAATAACAAATTATCAATAAATATACATGTTTTTGAGGACTATTTTCCACAGAGAACACCATGTTAAGACAGTGGCTTTTTGAGTAGACAACAGGTTATAAAATTCAAACTAATAAAATTTTGTGTAATTTTTTTCTAGAGGTAAATGGGAGTTGTTTATATAAATATTTAGAATACCAGTTCTTTTCTTTTATGGAATTGAGAGAAGTTTGCAGTTGTATTTGAATGGCATAAAGTTTACTTGATTATTTTCTTGTGGTTATACCTGTCATTATTATGAGTGTATTAAATCTCATTAAATTAGGTTTTTTTCTGGTAGATTCCTTGTTCAAGTTATTACTAAGGTGTAGTATATTGTTGTGTTTGAAGAAGATTTTTAAGGTTGAAACAACCTAGGTGCCCATCAACAGAAGAGTGGATAACCAAACTATGGTTTATACACACAGTGGGATAGTATGCAACCATAAAGAATAACACAGAATCGGCAAAACACTGCATAACGTGGATAAACTTGGAAGACGTTGTTGTTGTCGTTATGTGCTGTCGAGTCAGCCCTGACTCATAGCGACCCCTCTTTGGGTTTCCGAGGCAGTTATCACTACGGAAGTTGGATTGCCCAACCTTCCTTCCGAGGAGTGACTGATGGGTTTGAACCGCCAGCCATCTGGTCAGCAATCAAGTGCCTTAGCCACTATGCTACCAGAGCTCCCTTTATGCTGAGTGAAATGTCATTCACAGAAGGACAAATATTATATTAGTCTGTTATTGAAAAAAGTCAAGGAAAGGTTTTATATATGGAAGGAAATTTTCTTTGTTGGTTACCAGGGGTTGGAGGGGAGGGAACACTGCTAGATAGGTAGAGACAAATACTATTTTGGGTAAAGGAAAGGGAAGTGTACCAAATGTGAGTGATCAACCAGTGAGTGGCATTGAGGAGAAGAGGAAGACATGGAGAGATGCATGAGAGGTACAGACAACATAGATGAACCCTTTTGTACACACACACAAAAGAATACTTTAGATCACCAATAGAGTTTTGTTTTTCATTATAATTTGGGCAAAAGTTTACAGAACAAATTTATTTTCCATTCAATAATTTATGCACATTTTGTTTTGTAACACTGGTTGCAAATCCTTAATTTAACAGCACTCTTCCTTCTTCCTCCCTGGTTTTCACATTTCCATTCCACTCACCCTCTCTGGCAATTCCTGCCTTCTGAGCTTTGTTTTGGGGCATATGCTGCCCTTTTGGTCTCATATGGTTGATGGTACTGAGGAGGACATTCCTTCTGGTGTTTCTTGTTTGGCTGAAAGTTGATCCCCAAGGGTGGGTTCAGTTTCAAGTCTGAAGAGTCTCTAAAGGCCACAGTCTTCGGGGTTTCACTAGTCTTTATCAGACCAGTAAGTCTTGTCCTTTTTATGTTTTTGAATTTTGTTCTGTATTTTTTATTCTCCCTATCTGTTCAGGCTTTGCTGATGAGAGAAATTGGTAGTGGTATCTGGGCACCATCTAGTTCTTCTGGTCTTTGAGTAGTGTAGACTGTGGTTCATGTGTTCCATTAGTCCTTTGGGCTGCTTATTTTCTTTGATTTTCGTTACTCTTTGCTCCAAAGGAGGAGTGACAGTAGTTTCCTCTTAGGTGGGCGCTCACAAGCTTTTAAGACCCCAGTTGCTACTCACTGAGGTGTGATATAGAGTATTGTCTTTGTGGGCTATGTTATGCCAATTGACTTAGATATCCCCCAAAACTGTGGTCCTAAGTCTCCAAGCCTATTGAGTCATTCCCTCAAGATGTTTGGTTATTGCTAAGAAATTTTCATAACTTTTTCCCCTGTATGCTCTACAGTATCCTTGGATATATTTATAATACACATACAAATAAATATGTAGAAATATCCTTTGCCAAACTTACATATCCCAGTAGAGTATTTCAGATTCATTTAAAATATTTTAGAAAGAACCATTTATGAACACAGTTCATATACTAGTAAAATTACTCTCAACTGGTTTAGGAAATAACTTCCCATATTTTTTTTCAAAGAAGTCATGAATTTCCAGGTTTACTGTAGCATTCCTTTGGGATCCAACATCCTCCAAATGAAAAATTGGTAATGATGAGAGAATAGCCTTGAAGAATGGAATAAATTCCAGAGAATAAAAGGAAGTGGGAATTGAATTATGGGGTAAGGATCCTAAGGAGACCTAGATAACCCTGTTTATATACCCTAAAAGTGATTATGTTATTCAGGAACATTGAAAGGATACATGTGATTTAAAGTTTGGAAAGATGTTAGCATCACTAGGCATAAGAATGACACTACTATGTGAAGAGAAGGAGTCCAAAGACAACAGAACTTGTGTTTTTAAACACTGGTTGAAAAAGAAACCTGAAGACCTGTAGTTATTCTGTGTACATGAATAAAACCAAAAAAGTAAATTAGCATTTTCTTTTTGTTTTTCTTTTGTGGTTCACTCCAGCCTCCTGAATTGATCAGGTTTTAATCCAGTAGATGCACTTTAAATACTAATGTAACATATGATCTGCAGTATAAATTTAAACGTAAAAGCAGTTAAGGAAATTTTAATGTCAGTTTAATTTTTAAATTTGTTTTGAAGGAAATTGAGGAAATGTGTGTGGTCCTTGTGTCTAATTTGCCTGTAAAAGGATATTCTGTGGAAGACATTTACAACCTAGCCAAACCATTTGGTGGTTTGAATGATATTTTGGTTTTATCATCTCATAAAAAGGTAAGAGTTGATAATAGCTATTCCTGTTGTCTGCAAGGACATTTTGTAAAACTGTAAATTCACAAAACTCAAGGGGCTTATAAGTGGCATCTCAGAGTACTTTAACTGTTTCTAGCTAAGTGATTTTTAAAATATAAAACATATCCCTTATTTTAGAATTGTTTTAATCAGAATTTTGATGCTGAGGAGAAATGACTTACTAATTTGTCAAATTTTTCATAGAATTTTTGTTGAATAGAAAATGTTTTACATCTTTAATATGTTTAATGCAGAGTTTTAAAATTTACCTTATCAAACCTTATAGAGTACTGTTTAGTGATATGTGCATCTTCATATGTCAAAATTAGATTATTTGAATGACTGTACAACTCTGTAAGTGTACTAAAAACCATTGAATTGTATACTTTAAGCACGTAACTTTATGATATATGGATTATATTTCAATAAAACTGTTTAATAAAATGTAGATTACTTGTTATATAGAGAGACGATAATAAAAAGTCATGTTTATATTAAAAATTTTTTTTTTTCATTAATTTGAAGTATTAAATGTTCTCAGGAAAAACTTAAGATTTCTTTTATTTCATTCTTGTATTTTCTATTTAAAAAGGCATATATAGAAATAAGTAGAAAATCTGGAGATTCGATGGTAAAATTTTATACTTGCTTCCCAATATCACTGGATGGAAATCAACTCTCAATAAGTATGGCTCCTGACAACATGAATATAAAAGATGAGGTAAATGATAGATTTACTGCTGTTTTTACTTTAATGTCATTGAATTTCTTAACAGATTATTAAGGTCCATTATCTTTTCCAGTTTTCTTCTTTGGGTGATGACTATAATAAAATACCCTTTTAGAATATGTTCTTACTAATTTTCTAATCTTCCGGGCCATTATTTTGTAAAGTACTTGTATCTAATGTCTTCAGCAGTCCAGCACCAAATCCTGGTGAGGCTTTCTTTGATGTGTATCTAGTATAAAGTCTGGTTTAACAGCACTAGATCTAGAGAGTAAATATCCTGGATTCATGTTTAATTGGCAGCTCAAATTTATGACCTTGGGCAATGCTGTTCTGTTCTCTGAATCTTTGTTTTATCATCTACAAACTGGGGAAGTGCTTGCCTCATATGATATTTGTAACAATTAGAAGAAGTAACCCTCTTAAAGTGCTTATGTTTAGCACATAGTAAGCATTCTATCAATATTAGATACAGTTTTTCTTATCTTTTTATTCCCACTGAAACTATTCCTTGGCCCCCAAGTGACATTTTGGAATCATCTAGCAGTCTTTCATAAATCTCACATGTTGTTTTTTTCAGATACTAAGAAAGCTTCTCCCTGCTCTCTACATTCTACCGTCCCATTGTTTAGAGTTACTTCCATAGTGAAGGAATCTTGTTACTCAGTGTGTTCAGGGATGGGAAAAAAAAGTTGAAAACTATTGTCCTGGAAGAGGCCTCTATGTACTCTGTATCTCTGTTGTTTTCTGTCGTCCAAACTGGATACCTGGAGATTATCTTTAAATTTTTCTCTCATTTCTCACATTTAATCAGTCACTGTCTTACCTGTTTTAACTCCTAAATATTTCTGTGGTTTGTTCTCTCTTGGTCATTATCCCATCAACCATTATTTTATCTTTTAAAATCTAGTGGGCCACGGATACAGCCTTCTAATATTTCTTTCTGCTTTCACACAAAGCCACATGATTGGCATAAAATTAAAATCTGTTCAGATTTAAAGAGACAGAAATCCTCCTCTCTGTGGCTTGTAAACATTTGCTTTTAAATGCCAAGACGCATAGGTTTGTTAGAATTTCTGGGGCATTGTGGGAGTCCTTGTAATTTGTAACACCCTTTCCTTGACAGTGACTCTAATGTGACATGATTGCTAGGTTTCTGAGGCAGTAAATCTTTACAGAAGTACATTGTCCAGTCTTCTTTCCCCAGAGTGGCTGGTGGGTTTGAACTGCCAGCTTTCTGGTTTGTAGTTATATGCCTTGGGCAGTATGCCCCCAAACCTCCTTATACACATCTTTATCGTCAAAAAAAAAAAATACATTTAAGAACCATACTCTGAGTTTCCAGATTCCTTCCCTGAGTATTTCAACCTTCCTGTAGCTAACCTCCAGTAGATTTGACATCCTGTCTTATGCCAGTCTTGGCCTCTTACTTTAGAACTCAGTAGTTCCAAATCACTATTCTTGTAAACGATACTGCTTTTTCACTAGCTTGCATCTTTGTTCTTTCTCATCTTCTACTTTGCTTGCTAATAAGTTGTTTTATAATTTTAATTCTCTTCCTGCCTTCTAAATTAAATCTGTTACTCCTCTTTTGGGTATTTAAATGTCCTTCCCTACGTGGTACTGCCTCATTAATTTTAATGCACTTGGAGGTAGAGGAAGAATTAAGGTGCATATATCAGCGTGGGACATGGAAAATGTGTGTAGGAAGAAGGAAAAATTTTTGGAAGGAACAGAACTTTTGCTGCCTCCTAATTTTTGGAAGGGAGCTCTGGTAACATAGTGCCTAAGGCACTTGACTGCTAACCAGAAGGCTGGTGGTTCAAACCCAGCAGCCACTCCTCGAAAGGAAGGTTGGGCAGTCTACTTCCATAGTAATACTGCGTTGGAAACCCACGGAAGGGTTGCTATGAGTCGGGTCCGACTCGATGGCACATAACAACAACAACAATGTTTGGAAATATTGTTAAATGAATATTTATATTATTACATTATAAATCTTAACTAATTAAATATACAAATTAAAAGGAATTTATACCTTCAACCTTTATTTATTTTGGTTTTTTAGGAAGCTATATTTGTAAGCTTGATTAAAGAAAATGACCCAGAGGTGAGTTTTGTATTTAAATCCTCTTGGTGTACTTGTTTCGATACAGATACTTGCTGTTGTTCATTCCTTTGTTTGAAATTAAAGAAAACCTTATTACTAATTTTAAGATATTGAGGTGCTGGGGACATCATATATGTCTTCTTACTAGCAAAAAGTAAGAAATCAAGAATTGGCATAGTCCCTAGTGAATTTTTTTTTTCAGATACTATTAGAGTATACATTAAATGGTAAAATAGATCAATACCTTGTTTGAGGATGTTTTGGGTAAATATGTTGATAGAAGAAAGATTATGCATACTGTTTTAGTATTATTATTTTGCTGATATATTCTGGTCTAAAATTAAGGCCTATCTTAACCCACAAGGAGGTCTGGTGGTTCCATGGTTAAAGTATTTGTCTGATAACCAGAAGGTCAGCAATTTGAACCTACCAGCTGCTCTGCAGGAGAAAGACAAGACAGTCTACTTCCATAAAGATTTACAGTCTTGGAAACCCTATAGAACAGTCGGAATCAACTTAATGGCAGTGGGTTGATATCTTAACCCACATAGTCATTTACTACTTTCGGAGAGGACATCATATGCTCTGAAATACGAAATTATTGTTAATCTGTGTTTTACAGTTTGATACTATAAGCTTTGTTTTTCTTTCCTTAATGCTATCTCTTAAAAATAAACCAAAAAACCAATTTTAGGCAAATACAGGAAAAAGTTATGATCGGTTTGTTCATCTTGATAACTTACCAGAAGATGGACTTCAGTGTGTGCTTTGTATTGGACTTCAGTTTGGAAAAGTGGAACACCACATATTCATGAATAATAAAAACAAGGTAACATGATCTTTGTTCTGTGTTGTGTAGAGAATATATAGTTGAACCCTATATTCTTATGGTCTACAACTCTTAGTTCAGCTTTTGAACTGAAGCATTTATAAACATTTAACATCTTAGAACTTGATGGGTCAGGATATTTTCTTCTGGACTCTGACAAGAAAGATCAGAATCCCTAGTCTTTTAGGAGGAAGAAGACTCACACAAGGGAGAAAGATAATTTAGTGCAAAGAGCATTATCTACTGGAAAGTTTTGACCTTAAGCTCTATGGCTCTAAGTTACATCTGTGACCTTACCCAATTCAGTTTACACTTTGAGTTCTTGTTTATAAAATGAAGTATTGTTGGGTATTTTCCAAAATCCCTTCCAGCTATAAAGCAAATAGCATTAAGTTTATTTAGTTACATGCAAAATAGAATTAGTAAAATGACCATTTCTTACTTTCATGACTTGGCTTCTTTCCTTAAAAAAACACATTAATCTGTTCACATTTACTGTGTCTTCTGCGTTTAATACTTGTTTCAGATGCATATTGTTAAAATTAGATTTTGCTGAACTGTACCTGATAAAGTCAGGGTTTCATGTGGTAGTTGACAGTATTTACTAGGTCCTATCAAGTTGATTGACATGGCAACCCCATGTGTGTTAAGAGTAGAACTATGCTCCATAGGATTTTCAGTGACTGATTTTTCAGAAGTAGGTTGCCAGGCCTTTCTTCCAAGGTACCTTTTGGTAGGCTCTAACCTTTCACTTTACAGCTGAGCATATTAACCATTTGTGTAACTAGGGAATCATAACAATTTGTACTCCATTAAAAATACCTCACTGACCAACAGCTAGCTATTAATTTCTTTGGCATACCCCTTACTGATAAATAGAGCGTGTTTGGTTACTTTAGTAATAATGTGATGTAGGATAGAAAAAGAAGTCACAGGTGATATATAGGAATTCTGAACCTTTACTTAAGACCTCTTTAATCTCCTTTAAAATCACCTACCACCTTCTTCAGTTACGCCTAGCAACACTCTTAAGAATTTTCTCTTGTTAACTTTGAAATAAGGATTAATGTTAACTGTGTGATCACAAATTTCAGATTGAAAGGAAAAAAATATCAATAATTTTTTTTCCTTCTCCAAAGGCAATTCTTCAGTTAGATAGTCCTGAATCTGCTCAGTCAATGTACAGTTTCCTGAAACAAAATCCACAGACCATAGGTGACCATGTACTGACCTGCACATTATCTCCAAAGATGGACTCATCAGAGGTAAGACTTTTCTCTACCAACTTTTGTGCTTTCAGAAAATGAGTAAAGTGTAAAGGGTTATTCTCCCCAGAACAAAAGATATACTCTGAAGGTAATTTCAAGAATCATTCTCAGGTAGTAGAGTACTCAAACTGGTCTGAATTTAGATATTCCTCATTTTTAAAATTTGCTTTGCAATGTATTCAGTGTTCCAATGTTCATAGTTTATGGAGCAGTATTTTTATTTACCCAAACCAAACCCACTGCCATTGAGTTGATTCCGATTCATAGCGACCCTTTAGAGCAGAGTAGAACTGCCCATAGGGTTTCCAAGGTTACATACCTTTCTGGAAGCTGACTGACAATTAAATTCAAACCCACAGATGTTTTTTCTAATAGTTCTAGTGCATCTCAGTGATAAATAGGGCTTTGGTATGTGTATGGTATTTATTTGTTAATCTGCCAAAAATCTTTCACTGGTTCAGAAATAGGAAATTTTACCATCTAAACTCAAATTAAATATAGCACCTATATTATATAGTACATGCATCATTATGGATACGAATTTAAGCACAAATTTGAGTAGTTCGTTTAACCTTATAATTTCAGAAGCTTTTAGCCTTTACTCACTGCAACATTGCATTTTAAAATTTATGTCTTTACTATTTCTCAAATTATTATTGTTAACTAAATTCAGAATTATAATAAGGACTGACTATATTGAAATGGAGCTCTGATAGCATAGTTCCTGAGGCACTTGACTGCTGACCAGAAGGCTGGCGGTTCAAACCCACCAGCCGCTCCTCGGAAGAAGATAGGGCAATCTACTTCCGTAGTAATACTGCTTCGGAAACCCAAGGAATGGTTGCTATGAGTCTGGTCCAACTCAGCGGCACATAACAGCAACAACATATTGAAATACTACCCCAAATTCACCAATCAGAAAAAACAAAAATGAAGTAGGTGAAAATTATATTAAAACCCTGCCTGATTTGGCCCTTTACTTCCCAAAATCTTACTCAAAGGTCTATTCTTAAAGCTTATACAATTGGTGAACGAATTTGGGTTACATTAAAAGACCTAGCACCACCACTGATAAACTGTGCAGACTTGAATGTGTCACGTAGTACCCATTATACCTATTCAACAAATGATGAATTAGATAGTGGAAGTCAGTAGGCTAATTTCAGTATATTGTAATTGTCTGTATGAAAAGTAATAAAGGCTTGAGCTAGGAAGTAGCCTATAAAATGGAAATAAAAGCTGCCCCCAGATTTTTGTTATAGCAGCCTGTAATTCCCCACTTTTTAAAATAAAATAATTAATATTTCTATTTTACCCTACCTTTTGTTCCCATCCACACCCCATTTTAGTTGCCCATAGTGTTATTTGTTACAACTTTTAGTTCTATAACTATAGTTAAGCTGAATGCCTACGTATTTGATAATAATGTCATTTTAGTCATACACACTTCATTAATAGTTTGTCTTGGTGTCAAATTCTGAGCTCAGATTATTTGCCCTTTCATTGTTTCAATTGGCCAGTATTGTTGAGAAGTCTGATTTCGTCCAGACCTTTAAGAATTTTGTTTTTTCTAATTCCATTTCTATGCCAGTACTATTCCAAACATTGGGATATAATGATAAGCAGAAGAGTCAATGTCCCAATCCCCATGGAAGACACATGTGACCCACACCAAGAATTCCCTCTGAATATATTTATTACTCACTTTCTTTAAAGTACACTTCTCAGTTTTCAGTCTGACAAAACTTTTCTAGAAAATTCTCAACCCAGAGCACGCATGATTCCCATAGATAAAGCCTCCAGTTTGTACGTATCATCTCTACAAGGGCACAGATTTGGGACCTTTGTATTCACTTACGTATCACAAGTGCCTATGCTTTGTACATAGACTGATTTTTAATTCCTACTTCCTTTTAGAGCCCCAGACAGTGCTTTCTTATACAATTACAAGGAGTAGTCTTAAATTTTGTATGTTTTGAGTGTAGGACTTTGAAAGTTAATTGGTCTCCATTTATAAACAGAAGTATTTTAAATTAATAGTTCTGTAAGGCAGATGTTGATATTTCAGGTTATTATTTTTTCTAAGCAAAAGGGTGGTATTTCCAAGCTTTTAAAGTTCGGTTTTGTTTTGTTTTGTTTTGTTAAAGATTTTTCATTTATATTAACATTAAGGGAATCTTTTTTTCTCATTAATTACTGTTTTTCAGTTATCCTGTGTAACCTAAATTAGTGGTCTTCATCTAATGAGATAACTCTAGAAACTTAAGTTTATATGGACATTGAAAAGTATCTGTTTTGACTTTCAAGTTTTTTATTAAGCTTAGATTTTACGTTGTACTAATGGATTTTAAGTACTTAAAATCTGGTAGAATAGCCTCTAGTAAAATGCGGAATTATGTTACAGGCTCAAGTTGAGAAAGACTCTGAACAAGGAGAACAAAGGTATGTTGCTTTAAGTTTGCTAACATTTTTGTATAATATTAGTTACTAGGTTTTGTTTACATATCTTATAGTAATAGTTCAGATGTAGCAGAAAGTTCATAGCTTACATGTTGGTTCGTTCTATGTATGTATGAGACTGTTACAGTTTTCCTTTTCATTTCTGTTTGACCTGTATGTGTGTGTGTGGGGGGGTTGTCTCATTCAGGTATTTAGTGGTTATTAGGAAAGACTCTAAAACTAGTTTGAATTAAACATATAAATATGATTTCTTATAAAATGTTTGTTTAACAGCCTGATACTGGTTAGTATTACTTAGTTTTGTTAACATCTTTTTATTCCAAAATAATTAAACACAGTAGTAAAATTTTAATCTTTTTGTATAATCATTTTTAATTTTATTGACTGGAAACACAAAAAGATAACATTTGAATTTGTTCATTTTTTTTTAACTGGTTGTTTACTCCAAGTATACGGAAGTGGAGTAAATCTTGGTCCTCTCTTTAAAATTGGGTCAGGAAGAGAGGGAGAGCTCTTAACATTTTTCATTTGTCAGCCTGGATGATGGGAGTTTAATTATTTTCAGGGCATTTTAGCTTACTGTTTAATGGGTATTTTGATACTTTTTTTAAAAAGCAACTATGATGGAGTGAAGGGATAGTATGAAAAAAATCCTGTGTACACTGCTTTGTACTAAGAGGTTGAAATCTTGTTCTTCAAAGTCTGCACAAACTAGTGACTCAAAACTTGTTTGGGCCACTTATAACTTTTCATTTTGATGAATGCTGTCTTGCTACCACTCATTTCCGTGCCAAACCAATCAGAAGTCTCCCTTTCATTGGCTCTTCATTGAGAATCACTGATTTAGAATATTGTTTTCCTTTCTTTATATTAAGTAAATTCATCCATATCTCTTACAGTCCATGTAGGAAGGAAGAATTTACAGAGTTTGAAACAGTGTGAAAGTGTGTAATATGGAAAATGTTTATTTGATGTGCTGTTTAATTTTAAAGATATCTGAAAAACAATTCTTAGAGAGTTTCCTTATCAGTAATTAATTCTTAAAAAGTGAGACTTTTAAATGATAAATATGACTATGAAAACATTAAAATATATTGCTTGCTTTAAGCAACAGGTTTACTGCATGTATCAACATCCTTTTTCAAGTTGAATATCGTATCACTTATATTCACATGCTTTAAAACTAATAACACCAGCAGTGTTTGATATAAAATAGCCTACAGAGGGCTCAGTAAGTAACAGTGTCTTATGTAGTAATACAGATAGGACCTACAGTGTGGCCACAAATTCTGTAGCTTTTCCAAGAATCCATTAGATAGATTTCATTTGACAGTTTCAGGTCTGCAGAGATAGCTATTATTTGTACTTTGTTCATTTTTATCATTAGACTTTTTTCCTAAAATGAAAAATGTTTCTTAATGAGTTTGCCAGTAGTTGTCCAATCTTATAAAATTAATTAAAATTTTCTGATGCTAATAATTTCTTACTTCCCATTTTGCAGTTAGGTGTGGGTGGAAGATGGGGGATATATGGTCAATATATTTTTCTCTTCTTTTGTTGTAAACATGGGAAAAATACTGTGTGTTTATTTGTTTGAAGCACTTTTGGGTACTACTGCATCGTGAATATAATCCTGTTGGTTATAATGTAAACTGTTTAAACAGATTTCCTGCTTAAAAGAAATCTTATGTGAGTACACCCACTCCCTCATTTATTGATATGGTTAGATTTCAAGGACCAGGTTGTTAGATGAAAATCGGCATTACGTGAAAATAGAGGATGGCAGAATCACCTTACCCCCTCACCTCTATTGTGCATGTTCTGCCGGGTCTTTACTGAGGTTACACTACTACCACCACTACCTCCCCTATGACACCTCGGGAGAGCTCTGCCCCTGTCACAGGGAAGGGCTGCACATTCTTCCAGAGCCAGGGTGAGCTAAGTACTACTTTTCCCCCACCCCAATTGTCCTCTCCCTCTCCTGCCTTCACTGTATTTTCTAGATGGATGGCCCTGCTTCATCCCTTCTCTCCAGGGGGCCCCTACTTTGCCCAGCCAAACCCCCCTTGGTTCCCTGCTCTCTGTGTCCCCATGAGAATCAATGATCCAGAGCTTCCTCTAAGGGCATGACAGCCAGGCCCAGCCTCTGTCCTTGATCTTAAACTGCAGCTGCTGCTGGCCATTTACCCACTGACGTGCGCCCCCCCCCCCCAATAGCCTGCCCTGTTTTTACCTATGGTCCACCCAGGAGGGAACACTGAGGAAGTGTAGGGTTCTACACAGGTGCTAGTCAGCTGACATTGAGTCCACTGGGCCCTGGGCATCCAAGTGTCCTACCTCAGGGCTCAGTGGACTCGACCTGGTCTGACCTGTCTCTGCAACCCCTTGGGGCCAGAAACTGGGGCCAGACCTCAGGTCCTACTTCTTCCCTGCCCCTGAAGACAGCCAGCCTTTACAACGCTGACAGCTGCTGCCCCAGCCTCAGCCCCTCTCCTGTTAGCACCCAGGATCTGCCAGACAGCATCCTAGCCCTGCCAGCCTTACTTCAGCCTTCCGCCACCACCACTCCAATCAGCAGCTTGGAGAGAACTTGACCCCTCTCCCCTCCCAAGTGGTGAAATACGAGTTTCCTTTCTGCGTGCACATGGGGTCTGGCCATCAGGGACTTTGGTGTTCATTACTGCCAGATTTATGTCTTTAATGTGCAAAACAGATCATAGATTTCTTTTCCTGTTACCAAAATACGAAATGTTGCATTAACAAGATAGTTGGTAAGTGAGGAGTAGCTGTATATTTGTAATTTAATAATGACCCATGTTTTGCTTGCATCACTGCCCCTGCTGCTCAGTACACTCAAAAACAGGATTTGTTTATCAAGTATTTAAGAGTCTAAATAAGGATGGTAGATGAAATTTTCACCAGTTAATAATTTTGGGAAGTATCTAGTGGCCCTCTGGAATAAACACTCATCTTCAGAAATGTTAAGTCTTAATCTAAAGTTTCTCAGGATGTATGTGGTACAGTGTTAACCTTTGTTCCCATACCCAACTTTTACTGTATGCCTTTTCTGAAAGTTGTGAAACTGGTATTATTGGGGGGAAATTAGATATGTGAGAAATTTTGGATTTAATATTAACTGAGTATAAGAGTAATAGAATCCTACAGATCTCTTTATTTTGTGAAAGCTGCTTTTCTGTCCACAAAATTCCTTCCTGAAATTTTTTTTTATGCCAGTTCCCAGGATATTCCTGTTTTACTTTGATCTTTGAAAGACTGTTTGCTTAACTCTAGCATTAATAATGTCATTTATTTGACATCTCAAACTGACTTCCCAAGCTAACTTGGTCAATACTAAGGCTTTTCCCATTTTCACCAGAAAAACAAGATAGTAATTTTTGATGAATTATTTCTATGAAGAAAGAACTATACTTTTTTGAAGACTAACACATGAGAACAAATAGGAACTTAAACCGTTTTTTCAAGTAGGCTTGTATTTTCTAAAGTGTAAATCTATGTTGTGATTTATTTATTTGAAAGTTTTTATTGTGGTTTGGGTGAAAGTTTATAGAGGAAATTATATTTCCATGCCATAATTTACACGTTTTGTGATATTGGTTGTGATTCATTTTATATTAAAGATAATAAATAGTGTGTTGGGTTGTTTTGTTTGTTTGTTTTGGGGGGGGACAAACAATATGGTAAAAAGGGAAGAGCTACCTTGACTCTGAAATAAAAATCTACATTGTCATTCTATCCCAATAGATCCCTGTTTGTAAAGCCTTTAGGGCTAACATATGCAGTTCAGTAAATGAACAGGAAATTTGAACTTAATCTTCAGTGTTGGAAATGAGTCTTATATTTGAAAACAATGATACATATTTTGAGAAATAGTAGTCACACACAACTGTTATAACTGTTACTGTCACAACTTTTTCATATCTTTGTTATATTTATGTTTGGCCCAGATTATATTTTGACTTATCCTAAGAAGTTGGAACACTTAAAATCTGCCAGTGGTATCTGAATATAAGGAATGTGAATTACTTCAAATAAAAACCTTTAAACCTCTTCAACATACAAAGGGTAGCTTCCACAAATGAATAAAATGCATATTGATTAAGAGCTATGGTTACTGAATATTCAACTTAAAATTGATTCCTCAAACTCTTTGCCTTTATAACTCTTCATAGAGTGGTTCCTCTGATCTCTTAATTAAAATTTATCTCCTTTGGAAGCTTAAACTTACCATTTTTGTGGGAGAAAACCAGTTTCCAATTGGCTCAAATTAGTCCATGGCACTTAATTTTTCTGAGCTTCTAAAATACAATTAAAATGTCTCAGGATGCAGATATACATACATCATAGGACATTGTTAACTATATGGCTGCCTTTTGAAAAGCGTTATTGTTCTTAGGTGCCATCCAGTCACTTGGGACTCCTATGACCACATGTACCAGAGAACATTGAAAAGCATAAGATACTGTCAATACCTTATCCCTTCCTTCCTTGAAAATAAGAAAAAGTCAGTACTGTATTTATGAGGTGCTGATATGGCATGATTATTTTCAGGTGTCTTCCTCCAACTTGCTGTTTCTAATGTAACTATGTAATACATTTGTTAACATTTTATTAGTGTTGATAGCATGCTAGATATTGTCTTCATAAGCTTAGATTTTTCTATAATTCTTCACGATAACCTCTGATCTGTTTCGCATTAATGTTAAAAAAAAAATTATGTGTCTCAGGGAAGTAGTGGAGTTACAGAATTATAGAATTGTACTTTGTTTACTTTGGATTTGGAAGACCATGATGTGATAAAATCAATTTTATATATATTTGTCTTGTATTTTCTCCATTTCTTCTGAATAATTTTATTTAAATGTTTAAGTTATATATTGGAATTTTAAATTACACCCTATGACTGGAAGAATTTCTTTTAACATGTACCTTCTCATCATGCAAAGGCGCTTATATTTTGTTAAAAGGCTCTATGTTCATGTTAAGTTTCTCCTTTAATTTTAAATCTTCAGAGTTATGTAAAGAATACTTCTAAAGGAAACTTTCAAGTGTTACCATTAATATATACAGTTTATGGAAAATTAAAATCAAATCCTGTTTTCACATTCAAAAACAAGAGACACTATGATTTAGTGGTTTTTCCTCCTATCAGTTTTTTATATTCCTTTTAGAGAAGTTCACTTAGAAAATTTAAAATTTCAATGCATGGATGATTGGTTTCATTGTAGAACTATATACATATTTTATTATCACTCTTGTAAACATATGACTTAAAAATTTGAGGTGTCTCAGATTCATAGTCCTCCTGATGTTGGTTGCAAACTTGATCCAGGAGGAAAATAAAGGTTTTAACACTTAAGACCATATTTAAAGCGATACTTTTGCCATTATTTCCTTAGAACTAAAAAGAAACTTTCAGTGCAGTGGAGAATCTCTTCTGAAATTTTATATTGTTTATATATGTTTATGTCAAAACATCTTAACCATTTTATTGCTAATTGGCTGGATTTCCCAGTGCTTATTACTAATGCATCAGGAAGTCTTAACAATTGGCATCAACAGGATTACTTATATAATGGTTGAATTCTCATCATAGTTTGATTTTTGTTTGTGTTTTTGTTTGTGTTTTTTTTTTTCTTGTTTGTTTGTTTTTAAATACTTTTAGCCCTGACTTGAAAAACAGTCCAGTTGATGAGAGTGAGGTGCAAACAGCAGCTGGTAGTCCCTCTGTTAAACCTAGTGAGGTTGAAGAAGAACCTACTCCCAGCATTCAAGCAGAACCTTCTGTACAACTGGAAGAGCCTGGTGAAGAACAACTTGAAAAAACTCTGTGTGACTCTGACTTTGCTATTGCAACATTGGAAGTTGAGACTCAAGGAGAGGAAAAAGTGGACAATCCTCTAGTAGTATCTGCTCCAGGCAGTATTGAATTATTTCCTGAAAATGTAGAGGAATCTGCTTTAAATCAGCAGGTGATTACCACTGACTTTGAGAAGGAAGAGGCAGAAATTGTTAACCCTGAAACAGAATTGTCAACTTCTGACAGTACATTTGTAGAAGAAAGGAACATCAAAGGAATTCTAGAAGAAGCTCCATCTGAAGCAGATTTCTTTTCTGGAATTACAGAGTCTATGGAAGAAGATGTAGTTGAAGTGGACAAACATGAAACTGTTTCAGAAATGGTGCCATCTGCTTATGTTATGGCCTTAGTACCAGGAGTTTCCATTGGGGATGAGAATGCAATGCGCAAAAAGGGAATTTCTGAAAAAAATAACATTGTTGAAAAGAAGAATGAATTCAATACTAAGGAAACTACAGTGGATCTGCAAGTAGGAACAGAGAAGACTGAAAAGAGTGAAGCTGGGATGGTTGCAGAGAAGTTGGAAAAGATTGTGGCAGTAATGAAAGAAAAGCCTGCAGAAAACATTGTGACCAAGGCATATCCACATAAAGTGGGTCAGGCCAATAAGCCTGATGAAGTTAATAAAACTAGTATGCTGACTACATTAAATGTATCTAGCAGTAAATCACCTATCAAGGCTGCTATTGTCTCTTCTCCAAAAGTAAAAGCTACATCTTCAAAAACTGAAAATCAGAAAAGTTTTCTAAAATCTGTACTCAGAGATCAAATAAATGCTGAAAAGAAACTTTCAGCCAAGGAATCGAGTCTACTTAAACCTACAAGTGCTGGGTCAGGCTTGGCAGAAAGCAGCAGTAAATCCAAACTGACTCAGAGCGGTGTTGCCAGAGGTGGAAGTGGAAGGATCTGGATCTCAGCCCCACAAAGCAAGGATTCTAAACTGGATTACAGGGATATAACAAAACAGTCTCAGGAAACAGAGGCTAGATCTTCCATCATGAAACGGGATGACAGCAACAATAAGGTGAGGAGGGTAGGAAGACTGGCTCAGTGTATCTTTGAAGTGATTAATTAGCTGCTGCTCTAACTATGGAGTAGGAGATGTATTCTTTTTTCATACTTCATCTCCTCACTCTCCACCCCCCACCCCAACCAAAGCTCCCATTTCCCTTACTTAAATGATTCCATTGATGTAAGCCAGTGGACATTTAGAGTATTAAGCTCAAGTTCCTAATTTATTAACAGGTTTGAAAAGCATTGTTTGAACAAAATTTGGTCAGAAATATAACTTTGTGGTTTAAAATGTCTGCAGTCAATCTCTTAAGGTGACTTAGTACCTGCTTCAAAATGGGAAAGTTTCTTTCTTAAATTGAATCTTCCTTTATCAGGTCACTCACTGATTACCCAATTCAGGCATTGTGTCGATAGGAGAAAAAAAAGATGAGTAAAACTGAATTTAACTACAGGTTTTAGAGACTCTACCTATACTATTCAATGATCGTTGACTTAGTTTTATGTTATTTGAATGTGGTTGAATAATGTTTACTGTTCAAGTTTTTTGTTTTGTTTTGTTTTGTTTTTTTAAAAAGAACATTAATGATCTGGCTGTAATTTCAGTTCTTCTCTATTTCTTATTTAATGTTTCAGACTTTGGTTGGGCAAAACACTAAGAATTCTAGAAGCACCACTGGTAGAAGTTCCAAATCTAAAGAGGTAGGAAAGAATTCACTAACCCTTGTTTTCCACCCCTCCAGAGCAGAGTTCATCTGTCTTATAACTTATGTCTCTCTTACAACTATTAGTTAATTCAGATGTTTAGAGAGAGAGAGAGCCTGTGTGCAAGGGACAAGAATGAGATGTTCTATTTTTGACCCTACCACTAATTCAGTTTTAGCTGGGCTAAATATTTAGTTGTATTCTTGGTGAAAACCTGCAAAAAGTTAAGCAGGATCAGAAGATGAATTAAAGTAGGAAAATACCACCAATCTCATTGACAGAAATAGGTTATAAATAGGAAATAGAATCTCACAGAAGTGTGACTGGCATTTGAATACTGAGTCCATTCTGTTGAACTGCCACATCATATTTCAAAACTCGTATATCATTTAGGAAATAGTTGTAACCTTTACTTAAAGAAATTAAGTAAAGTTGTAATTAGAGTGATACTGTTAAGATTTTTACCTTTAGAGTTATTTACTTTATGAATTAACTAAATCATGTGTGGGTCGGTTTTTTTTTTTTTTTTTAAATGCAAATTTCAGTGTTTAGGAGATTTCTTAGACCTGAAATTCTCACAAATTGTATGCACATTTACTAGGACTATTTGGAACCTGGTCAGTGGTCAGTAGTTGCACTCAACACTATGATTTTTTAACTTCCCAATAGGAACCATTATTTCCATTTAATTTGGATGAATTTGTTACTGTGGATGAGGTTATAGAGGAAGTGAACCCTACTCAAGCCAAGCAGCATCCACCAAAGGGAAAAAGGAAAGAAGCTCTCAAGAATACACCTTCCTCTGAACTTAACTTAAAGAAGAAAAAGGGAGAAAGTTCTGCCCCTCACGTTGTTGAGGGAGAATTGTCTTTTGTAACTTTGGATGAGATTGGGGAAGAGGAAGATGCAGCTGCTCATCTAGAAGATGCAGCTGCTCATCTAGAAGATGCAGCTGCTCATCTAGCACAAGCTCTAGTCACAGTGGATGAAGTCATTGATGAAGAAGAACTAAATATGGAAGAAATGGTGAAAAATTCAAATTCACTTCTTACCTTAGATGAGTTAATTGATCAAGATGATTGCATTTCCCATAGTGAACCTAAAGATGTTACTGTCCTATCAGTGGCTGAAGAACAAGATCTTCTCAAACAGGAACGCTTGGTAACAGTGGATGAAATTGGAGAAGTAGAAGAGCTACCTTTAAATGAGTCAACAGACATAACTTTTGCCACTTTAAATACTAAAGGAGATGAAGAAAATACTGTAAGGGATTCCATCGGGTTCATTTCTTCTCAGATGCCTGAAGACCCTTCTACTTTAGTTACTGTAGATGAAATACAAGATGAAAACAGTGATCTGCATTTAGTGACTTTGGATGAAGTAACTGAAGAAGATGAAGACTCCCTGGCAGATTTTAACAACCTTAAAGAAGAACTTAATTTTGTTACTGTTGATGAAGTTGGAGAGGAAGAAGATAGAGAAAATGATTTAAAAGTTGAGTTAGGACAGAGCAAAAATGATCAAGCCACAGGAAAAAAGGGTGATAGAAAAAAGAGAGTGGTGGACATAAAGAAGACAAAACTTGCCTTGTCCCAAGTGGATCAAGTAAATGAAAATGTTAAGGAAGAAGATCTGAAAGCCATGATTGAAAGACATTTAGATGGTAGGTACTTGTCAATATATTTTTCCTGTTTTCTGAGGGAGATATATTTAAAGTTCATTTTAAAATACAGGTTGGCATTACTAATAATTTTACTCTTTGTTGATATAAGAAGTCGACAAATAAACATTCATAGAGAGTGATGTGTTTTCCAAAGAAATGTGTTAAAGTTTCACAAATTTTTCTTAGTTACAGAGCAGAGCTTGCCCCAAGTTATTGTACCTCAAGAAGATAGGACAAAACTAGAAAGCAAGCTAGAGTGCCCAGATTAGAAGTGAAATGAAAATAGTATATTTATATTATGGGGAAAATACGGCTTTGGATAAGCAGAAGGATGTTTGCCCCAGAACGACCTCCCAATTTTTGTTTAGATTTATTAGGATTTGGAGAAATTTATAAAGGTGCCATTTCACTTTTAAGTAATATTTTGGTGGTACAGAATGATAGATAGGTCAGCTTATTTTCAAGATTTAGGAGAACTCAAAATCATTTCCATGTAACAAAATCTTGAAAGATTTGATGAAACTAAGAATAAAGTAGTGGAAAACGACCAGTTTATGGAACAAATTAGAAAAATTATGTATAAGTTGTGTGGGATAAGATAAATGGGAAAATGAAAAGGAGAATGTTTAGACTGATGCTGAGTATTTAATAGACTTCTCCTATTTTATATCAGGCATAGGTTTCCTTTCCAAAACAGGATAACATTTTGTTTGTAAGGGTAAGATGTTGAAGTTACTTGTCATGCAAATTAAAAGCAATTTAAATACTGTTAATATAGCAATAAATTAGACTTTCTCTTTAAAGCTAAAATGCCAACCAAGAGAGTTAGAATTGGGAAAACCCCACCATTGGAAAAAGCTGTTACAGCAGAACCAGCAGAAGATGAGGAGGCCTTCAGAATTAGTGAAGGTAAAGTAGGATTAATGGGAGGGGAGTACAGTAACACAATAGGAGGTGGTGGTTGAGTTTCCAAAGATCAACCATCAAAGAAGGAAAATTTAAAAAGAATGAAGTAGAATAGAGGGGGAAAAAAAGCAGCCTTGTAATTATTAGATCTGGATAAAAATTCTTACCTTTGTAATTTAAGGAGATAATAGAAGATCAGTCATAGAATTTGAAAATTTTGTGGAAATTATTCACAAAAAGTTATTCTGACCATGTTGCAGCATCAGGTAGAAATCATTTATTAACTATTATATATGGACCATATCCCTTGTTTTGTGGAGCTGCAAAATAGCTGGCCAAAACGAAAAAACCAAACTCACTGCTGTCGAGTCAGATCCGACTCATAGCGACCCCTCCTTGGGTTTCCGAGGCAGTATCACTACAGCAGTAGACTCTCCACCTTCCTTCTGAAGAGTGGCTGGTGGTTGAGCCACCAGCCTTCTGGTTAGCAGTCAAATGCCTTAGGCACTGAACTTAATATCTTACTAACATTAATGAAATTTATGTTAAAACATGGGACAGTATCTAGTGAGGGGAAAATATTTTAATCCCTCAAATATTTGTCCTTTTGTCTGTCATACTCAGAGAAAAATGCTAAAAAGTGTCAGGTTAAAAAAAAAAAATGTTCCAGATCTCAAGGAGTTTATTGATTTGGAGTTAAAGTAAAAAGAATAAACTATGAGTATGAGGTAAACAGCACGGTAAGGGAATCCCTTTCATTACTCTCTCTGCAGCACCCTTCTTTATTCTTGGTCTTCTGTCTTATTTTTGCTAAAGAAAAACTTCCAACCATTATTCATTGTAAGATGTTTATTAAATCTGATCTCAGCTGGGCACTCCACAAGTATTGTACCACAGTTTATCGTAGATCTCTTCTTTCCCATTTCCTAACCAAGCGTAGTACTAAAAGGTTTGCTCCTTTCTACATTACCTAGCCCATCCGTATGGGCTGACCTACTTTCATTTATCTCTTACCATCAGATAGAGAATCTCTTCTGTCTCCCAACTTATATTTTATCTACATTGGCTCCTTTTATGTTAATATGGTCAAGTGTTTCCCATTAAGGAAACAGATGTCTTTGGTGTTGGAATCCCTCCCTCCAGCACCCATCTTTTCTGCTTCCTTTCAGAGCAATCTGACATAAAAAGAATTGCTTATATTTACTTCTTCGTCTCTCATTCAACTGAATGTATTTTTGGCTTCCTTGTCTATCAACTTAACTAAAACTGATTTTTGATAAAGAATCACTATTGAGTTCTTGTCAAAACTGATTTTTTTCTCTTAGTCTGTTTGACTTCCTTCCATCATTTGTTCCTATTGGTCATGCCCTCTCTTTTGAATCTCTTTTCCTTAGCCAACTGAATACTCCTTCCTTGTCTCTTCTTCTCCATAACCACTATTTTTTTTTTATTGTGATTTGGGCGAAAGTTTACAGAGCAAATTCACTTTCCATACAGCAGTTCACACACACGTAGTCTCATGACATTGACTACAGTTTACCCCAGTGCAACAGTTCCCTCCCACTTCCTCCCGATAGTTACCTCTTCCCTGTGTCCATCCTTCCATGCGCTCCTGCCCCCTGAGCTGTCTCCCTGTGCATAAACAACACTTCTTTTTCCCATGATTGTTCTCTCCAAGGAGTGTATCTACCTCAGGTACATATTCAACTCTTATGCCTGTCTTTTGTTTGTCTGGAAGCCAAGGTGGGGGTTCAACTCCAGACCTAAAGGGCAGCTAGAGACCATGCTCTTGGTGGATCCACCAGGCTTGCTCAGACCAGCAAACCTGGTCCCCCACTGTGTCATCAGCCCCCCGGTTTTTTGTTTTGTTTTGTTTTGTTTTAATGATTTTGAGTTTTGTTCCACATTGTTCTCCCTCTCTATCTAGCATCTCCTACATAGATTTCCCCTCTGACTGATTGACAGTGGTAGCCGGGCACCATCTAGTTCTTCTGGTCTTGTAGTCGTATAGGCTGAGTATCACATGGTATATCAGTCACGAGGACTAATTGTTTCCATGAATTTTTCATTTTCTTTAATTTTTCTTTGCTCTGGACAAGGAGAGACCCATCGTTGCATCTAGATGGCTGCTGCAAGCTTTTAAGATCCCATTCGCTACTCACCAAAGTAGGAGGTGGAACAATGTTTTATGTAGTATGTTATACCAGTTGAGCTTGATAACCCCTGCGACTATGGTCCCAAGCCCACAAGTTCAACTACTCAGTCCCTCTAGGTAGCTGACTGTAATCAAGAAGTGATTATAACCTTGTCCCTTGTCAGCTCTACTATACCCCTGGGAATTCTTACAAAACATACAAATACACTTGTCGAACCATTGTCTGTCTATCCTGTACATGGTCTTGGGTACACTCCCTGCTGCATAAACATACCTAATAGTTCAGCCTATCCACCCATCTATCCATCTGTATACCCATGTTTGCCTTCACTGACAATGTAGTACTATATATGCAAAAAGGTTCATCTTTGTTGTCTGCACCTCACATGTACCTCTCTCTGTCTTCCTCTTCCTCAGTGCCACCATGTTGATCACTCACATTTGGTTCATTGCCCTTCTCTTCACCCAAATCAATACTTATATCTACCTATCTAACAGTGTTCACTACCCTACCCACCCATCCCTGGTAACCAACAAAGAAAATTTCCTTCCATATCTAAACCATTCCTTGACATTTACAATAACAGACTAATACAATATTTGTCCAGCAGTGTATGAGAGTCCCAATCTCTCCACATCCTTGCCAGTATTTGTTGTTTTGTGTCTTGGTGAACTTTGCTGCTAGTGGTGGGGAAAGATGGTATCTCATTGTTGTTTTGATTTGCATCTCTCTCTAATGGCTAATGATCGTGAGCATTTCTTCATATGTTTGTTAGCTGCCTGAATATCCTCCTTGGTGAAGTGTCTGTTTATGTCTTCTGCCCATTTTTTAATCAGATTATTTGTCTTTTTGTTATTGAGGTGTTGGAGTTTTCTATAAATTCTAGAGATAAGTCCCATGGCAGGTATGTCATTGCTGAATATTCTTTCCCAATCTGTAGGTTCTCTTTTGACTCTTTTGGAGAAGTTCTTGGATGCCCATAAAAATAAAATTTTTAAAACGTCCCATTCATCTAGTTTGTGTTCTGCTGTTTGTGTATTTTGGGTTATGCTTAATATTCTGTTTATGCCATATATTGTTGTGGTGGTGTTATATGCCATCGAGTCAGACCCAACTCATAGCAACCACTCCTTGGGTTTCTGAGGCAGTATCACTACAGAAGTAGATTGCCCAACCTTCCTTCCAAGGAATGGCTGGTGGATTTGAACCGTCAGCCTTCTGGTTATCAGCCTTCTGGTTATCAGTCAAGTGCCTTAGGCACTACGCTACCGAGCTCCCATGCCATGTATTAGGGCCCCTAAATTTGCCCCTAGTTTTTCCTTGAGGAACTCTATAGTTTTAGCTTTCACATTTAGGTCTTTGATCCATCTGGAGTTAGTTTTTGTGTATGGTGTGAGGTACAGATCTTGTTTCATTTTTCTCTGAACGGATATCCAGTTCTTTTTTTGTTTGTTTGTTTTTTGTTTTAAAGAAAAGAGTGTTTATTCAGGCCATCAATTAGAATCATAATAAATAATGCAGTACACTAATGTAATAACAGATGTTCTCATGCATTTATCAAATTTATAAATATACAAGGAAGCTGGCTTATAGGGCTGTTGGAACAAATCTGGAAAAGTATATTTGGCAATACAGTGAAAGTTAACAGTGTTAAGACTATCAAACAGATTTCTTTCCTATCCATTTTTAAAAGAGATCCCTTACATACTGTAAATAAAAGGTAATGTTCCCCTCCAGTTTCTACTTTTTGTAAACATGCCAGAGCTAAGCCAATTGCAAAAGGAACTGGGCTGACAATTTGTTATTTATCAGTATTCCTAATGGGAAACATATTTTAGAAAATAAATAGCAAACGTGAACTCCTGTGCATTTCAGTGTTGAGGCTGATATACTGCAAGTCAGAATCATTTAAGCAATAAAATGTGCCTGAATGAAATAAAACCTAGAAATAGAAATTTATAAATGGTAATTTTGATATTCAATATACAAATGCTTAGTATTATCATCTTTGTAATTTGTTAAATAAATGAAAAGTTGTCTGACTGCAAAAGGAATGAACTTTGATTAAAGTTCAATTATGCTAGTAAATTTCACATAAAGGGTCAAGATAGGATAACCTTTAACATAAAGCTTTAAAACAAATAATTTAAACATTTTTAAAATATTGAAAAAGCATTTTTAATTGTTATTTACAATTAATCAGTGCTACCAGTGTACAGCTTAATTTAGCCAATTGCCAGTCTTGAGTCCCTCTTTCAACATCTGCTATTAGGAAAATACTTGGTAAATCAGTTTAAAGAAGGAGAGCGATCTTTGGTCCAGAGTAACTCTATGTACGGCCATGTTTGGAGACAGCGTTTAATAGTAGTGTCATCTATCTGGAGCATAGGATCTTCAAAACCCATAACAACTGTAGTCCCTTCTACGTACATTACCTTTTCATTATAATTTGATTGCTTCAATCCATTGTAGTGGTAGACAGTAAAAGACTCTAGACCACTGGAGCCCTGATCAGGAAAAAATTCTTGAAGACATGGACCCAATAATATGATTCCTAATCTTTCTGGATCTAATTTATTCTTCATGAAGTTTAAATATTCAGGATCTGAAACGAGGTTCAGTGCTTTCATCACATCTTCTAAAAGTGAATCAGGTATGAACCCATTATCTTCTGGATCATAGGTTTGAAAAACTCTCCTGGCTTGTTCTGAAGGAGCCTCGGAGGCAACTAAAGCCATATCCTTAACAGTATCTTAAAGCCTCCATTAACGTTAAGAAGCCTACAGATGCTTGTTTATGTATACCAAGAAGTTTCATTCCTGAGCATTCTCTATCACCATCCCATAC